TTTGTTACTTAGATACTTATAACTTATAATTAATAATATAAATTGTTTGACTTTTTAACCATTAAATTACTGTATTTAAGTATGTAATAATGTAATATTTAAGTAAACTATAATATGTAATCTCTTTTCAATGATATTAAACTAAATGATATGCATATATCTAGTATGATTCTTTCAATATTGATATTATTTTTATGAAATTTGCTAGATTTTTGATACTAGCTTTTAGTTATTTTTTTTAAAGTTATTATTTAGAGGGACTTCTTTTTTATTTGATATAAACACAAAATATGGCATTTAGAATTACGCTTTGACAAATTGAATTATTGTCTAGATTTATAACTCCATTTTTAGGCCTACATTAAATAAAATGAATTGACTCACTAAATTTTCTCTCAAATCTTTTAGGTTCTACTTTTAATGTACACAGTAGTAGTGTTGTGGTAGAGCACTCACTTCATAAGGGAGAAGTTCGGAGTTCAATCCGCACCACGTCCCTGGTAGTATCGCGATTGACTTTTTTTTCCGCGCAGTAGCCTTGTTCATGAAGGTTGGTGTTTCAGAGCTATATAGTTGAAAGCGGTTTACAACAATAATTAAGTAGCCTCTGTGTTTGTATTGGCCTTCTCGGCCTTGGGAAGGTGAATTAAAAAATATATCTATGTTTTTTACATACATCCATTTTATAGTGCATGAAAATATATTTTTATAATACCTAATTGCTAATCGGTCCCATTTTTTTACTAGTTCATATTTTTTGTGTTATTTCATTTTTAAAACTATTTATATTTTTTTGTAAATTTTGTGCAATTTAATCATTCTTCACATTTTAAATATATTTCGTATTTCATGACATTTAACGGCTGAAATTCATAAAAAAAACAAAAAAAACATTGCAACAAGCAAAAAACAAATATGGTAAAATTAAAGAATCAATATATCTGTATTTAAGAATGAATAAAAGATAAACTGATACCAAAATCATTTCAAACTATTTGTCAGGTTTTTTTTCTTTTTTAAACATCTTTGCTTCCAACAAGGCTGCAAGCAACCACTAATTAGTGTTGGAAGTTACTGAAAGAGAAAAGATAAAGATTGTAGAGCAAGATAACGATTGACAGACGACTTAAACGATTGCAAATTATATGAATCAGGAAAGCAAGATGAAGGAAGCAAACTCCAAAGAACTGATGTTCGAGGAAAAAAAACTAGACGAATAACAGTTTTTGGAGCACTTAGGAACAGTAACAGAGAAAGAATGAGACTTGATTGAATGACGAGTAACACAAGAGTGAAATTAAGTAGATCGCACAAGAGACGCTAGCTCTTTAAAGCAGTGCCTATTATAGTATTTGTAGAAAAAAGAAAGAGGAGCAACATTACGACAATGTGATAATGGTTGAAGGTTGGCTGCAAGAGCAGGTCCAACTATGTTTACAATGCGTTTTTGCACCTTGTTTAAAAGAGAAAGGGCATCATTAGAAGATCCGCCCCAGATATGGCAACAGTATTCCATACAAGGCTTTGAGATTTATAGAGATAGAGAATAGAATCCAGAGTAAGAAAGTGACGAGCTCGATAAAGAGAAGTAACTTTAGCAGATGCTAATTTTGCAACGCATTTGATATAAGGTTTCCAAGAAAGATCAGAAGTAAAAGATAATCCTAGAAGATGAAGGGTAGGAGACTCATCGAGTACATTACCGTTCATAAATATAGGAAGGTCTAAATTATTGCGATAAAGATTGGCTGAAAAAAATTGAGTTTTTTCTGAATTAAAGTTCACTAGCCCCTGTGAGCCCCATGCTGTAGCAGAAGTGAGATCCTTTTCAAGCTCAGATGCCCCCTGCAAGCAATCAGAGGGAGTTGGCTTCTTATCGTGACAAGAATAAATGGTTGTATCATGTAGAACGATGCTACCTTAGATGTGAGAATATCTGGAAGATCGTTAATGTAAATTAAAAAGAGTATAGGGCCAAGGATTGAATCTTGAGGAACCCTGGAGGAACCTTGAGGAACCTTGAGGAAGAAGAGTGCTGTCCATCAAGGACAACTTTTATACTACGATTGGAAAGAAAGGATTCAATAATCTTAAAGATGTTTCCAGATACACTGTAAGAAGAAAGCTTATGGAGAAGACCAACATGCAATACTTTATCAAACGCCTTAGAAATGTCAAGAGCGATGGCCTTAACCTCTCCACCTTTATCCAATGCGCGATAAAACCTATCAGTTATTACTGATAGCAAATCAGCCGTAGAACGAGAAGATCGAAATCCATATTGATGATCACAAAGTAAATTATTAGATTCAACATGAGGGATTAAGTGTTTGTTAATTAAAGATTCAAAAACCTTGCTTATGATAGGAAAAAGACTAATATGACGGTAGTTAGACGAATCAAATTACTCTCCAGAATTTTTGAAAATAGGGATAACAGATGCTGCTTTCCAGCAGGCTGGAAAACAAGACTCTGATAAGCACTTGTTGAATAGTTTTGAAAGTATAGACAGCAGCTCAGAAGAACACTTCTGCAAGCTTATAACAGGTATGTTGTCCGGGCCACAAGCTGTAGAAGAGTCTAAGTAGGAAATCACTTTAGATACAGAAGCTGGAATGATACAAATGTCAAGCAATGGATCAACCTGTTTGACGGCTATATCAGGTAGAACGCAACTAGTGGATTCAAGAGATGATATTGATAAAAAGTTCATAGCAAACAATTCAGCTTTGTCTTTAGATGAGGTGAAAAATATGAACCATACAAAAGAGGTGGAATAATCAATTGAAACCATACAGAGAAACCATTCAGAGAGGTGGAATAACAGATTGTTATAGATACTGTTAAAGATTCTCTAGAAGTCACAAGAGTCTTGCTTTTGAAATAAAATATGAGATTTCGAGAACTGAGAATATTTGACAAAACCTTTTTACAATAGTTTCTAGCAATAATAAACAGACGACTGTTTTCTTGAGAATTGTTTTTCTGATAGATATGGAAGTAATGGTTTCGATTGCAGCAGCACAATGTAAGGAAAACCGTGGGGAATAGTGAGGCTTAACCTGGAATTTTCAAGAAGGAATAAAGGATTCTATGCCAACCTGAATCATCGAAGTTAAGAAGCACATTGAATCCACAAATGTAAGAAGCGCATTTGTCAACAGGAAGACGAAAGATTTTTAACCAAGGGCCATCACGAAGAAAATTACGGATTAAGAGTCCAAGTCAGCTTTAAGGTAGTTGTAAGATGTACGGTGATAGGGGGATTCTGATGGTAAAGAAGAATGAGATAAGAGTTTTGATAAGAATGAGATAAGAAGAGAGATCAAACATCAGAGGTGATCAGAGGCACCTAAGGACGAATGTGGAGAAACTGATCACTGACTAGGATCAGAAATGAGACATAAGTCGAGTAAAAAGGTAAATGATTCAGGTTGTCTGGAAAGCAAGTTGGAAAGTTGACTATTTGAGTTAGGGATTGAGAAAGGCAAAAGTTGTGGGCCTGCAGAGTTGCTAACACTAGAGCCAAGCCATTCTGTGTGATAAACATTAAAGTCACTGACAACAACAATATAGGCTGATAGATAAAGAGAGAGGGCTTGGTCAATATGATCAAAAATAACATCAAGAAGAGTGCAGCCTTGAGATGAAGGAGAACAATATAGAACAAAGAGAGTGAAGTGCATAAAAGCACATAAAAGAGTAGTATGTGGATTCAAACCTAGTTTTCCGACAAATGGGTGATTTCTTATGAATATAAATGCCAAGGCCAAACATGTGACTATTGGAGTCTTTACGAATTAAAGGAAGATAACCATTAACAAGATGAGACAGCTTACAAGATGAGACAGCTGAAATCAAATTAGTCTAACAAAGAGCAAGTAGGCCTGGTGAACTTTGCAAGAGATAAGACTCAACAGAAGAAAAGTTACTTCGAAGACCACAAATATTAGTGAATGATAGGTTTAGCAAACTTGGTGATGACAGCGGTTTTTTGTGTTTTATAGCTTTTGTTACTTTATTCATTTTCAAATTTGTTAAAGAACTTGACTCGAAATATAGATAGTACTCAGTAAACTGTTTATTACCCCAAGCAATTGCCTCATTACTATTAATAAACCCTAAACCATAACAAAGGGCTCCAATATGGCCTTGGCAATGCACACCAAAAGTACAAACAAGGACACCATCCATGCGCAACATGGCACTGTTAATACTTTGATATTTTTCAGCTGGTGATGGAATCAGCCTCTGTGAGACTTTGCTATTAAAGAGTTGGAATCAGCCTCTCTGAGACTTTGTTACCAAAGAGTTTGGGAAACCTGACTACCAGCTGGCCTCAGAACCATAAAACTGAGTTTTAGAGCAGTACCCTCATTAGGAGATAATAGAATAAGTTGCCTAATCATAAAAACAGAGACACAAAAAAAATCCATGCATCGAGTCAAGAAGATCCAGCATTCAACATCCTAAACTAAAAACAATGTATTAAGAATACATCTGCGCCAGCCTAATAGATGAAGAAGGGGTGCGAGGCTGGTTAACAGATAGAATCTGTTTACCCCTCAAGGTAAATATCAAAAGAGGTAAACCATACTTAAAAGATACTATTTTAAATTACTTATATGTATCGAGAACGATTCTAGAATTTGTTATTCTAAACAAATAAAATTAGTCAAAATATCCAAAGCTATTTATATAAAAACTTAAGTTAAGAGGATTTTGAATCTACTATTAATGAAAAGTCTTGATAAAAAGTGTTTAAAATTAAAAAAATTTAAAATCTTATAAAAAAAACAAACCCAGAAAACTTGTTGTAATGTTTTAATGTTGTAATAATGTTGTACTGTTTAATGTCTTTATGTTGTAATAATGTTGTACTAATAATGTAGTAATGTCATAATGTTGTAATAATGCTGTAATTTTGTAATAATGTATTACAGCTAAAACCCCTTCATTTTTTAAAGATGTTGTTTCAAACCTATATAAAACTGATATACCTGAAAACCACATTTCAGAGAGCTAGGACTCAAATTTGCACCAACTGAACATAATCTACCCTATTTGGACATAATTTTAATAACAGAATCTTCTGCATTAAAAATGAAATATTGTAACAAAATAAAGAATGTTTGAAGATTTGATGACACAGAAATTTAGATTAAGATAATAATAAATGTTTAAATCACAAAAATATTTAAAAGTGTTATAATGCAGTAATATATTGTAATAGTGTAATAACGTTGTAATGTTGTGATGTTGTGATGTTGTAATAATTAGAGATAGAAAACAAACTGAATCCCAACCAAGCCAACCAAACCAGAAACTTACCTTTGACCGAACTGAATTGAATCCAAACTTTGAAATTGTTGGGAATGAAAAAAGATATATGTTATATATTGTAGAGCGAATTGCAAAATTAAGAAATTTTGCAATTTGTACTACAATATATAACATAACGCAACAGAACTATCTTGTTCTCTCTCCATAATTCTGAGTTTTGAGATGAAATGATTTAAAAATTAAAATGATTTAAAGTTTTTTTTATAACTTATGTTTTCTCTACAACTTTTTTACTTATAACTTATGTTTTCTCTACAACTTTTTTACTTATAACTTATGTTTTCTCTACAACTTTTTTACTTATAACTTATGTTTTCTCTACAACTTTTTTACTTATAACTTATGTTTTCTCTACAACTTTTTTACTTATAACTTATGTTTTCTCTACAACTTTTTTACTTATAACTTATGTTTTCTCTACAACTTTTTTACTTATAACTTATGTTTTCTCTACAACTTTTTTACTTATAACTTAGGTTTTCTCTACAACTTTTTTACTTATATCTTAGGTTTTCTCTACAAATTTTTTACTTATAACTTATGTTTCAGTAGAAAAACATTCTGAAGTACACAACACTATCAATAACTCAAATTTTTCAAAAAGAAGATATAGAAGATAAATAAAAGAAGAGATAGAACAAGATAAATCTAACATTGCAATAATTCTACAATACATAACATAATATATCACATAATTATGTACATATGTGTAATTACGTAAAATTATAATTTTACATAACTACACATATGTACATAATTATGCTAGGTATTAATTATCATAACCTAATACATAAAATAAGTCTGCAATACATAATATGATACATAACATAGTATGTAACACAACTCTACAATACATGACATAAACCTAACTTGTTTACAGTCAGTCTGTAAGATCAAAGGTTCAGACAGTGATAGCATACATAATTTGAAGGCAGCTTTTCTGTCCGTCTTGAATAAATAATTCTCTTCAAATACTTGCAACCTTCTTACAAATACTTGTCTTTTGTCAATGCAGAAGATCGCAATTTTGTTTATTCAGAGATGTGTAGTATGGTAGACTAAATTTCTTTTTCTTTAACACTTCAGGTGATATGCATAGATTCAGGCAGAACAGATATAGACAGCTTTAGTGAATACAGTCATTCAGATCAACTGCTTGATTCAAAAAAGAGTAAAACTCACCCTGGATTGTATGATTAACTGGCAAACTCTAAAACAGTTCCCACTCGATTGTCTAAGGCTGACAGTAATGACACAAGACATGAATTTGACAAATACTTATCCATGCCCGTGACAGCATGATGCATTGCAATTCTGGAAAGACAATGACTGTGAACATAAGTTTCTGACGATGGCATTGATTGCTAGAATGTTGTTGGCTATTCTTGCTACAAGTGCTAACAGTAAAACAGTCTTTTTAGAGTGTGGGGTAACGATGAGTGCTTGCAGGGCTCGCCTAAACCCAGAAACATTAAAAATGCTGATGATTCTCAAATATAACATGCAGTCCTGATTACTAGACTGAAAGTAAGCTACTTATAGTTTTTATGTTTTGTACACTTTAACTGCTGTATTTTGTTTTTTGAATTTATCAAATAATTTGCAATACTTTAGCTACTAAATATCATTTTAATTTATTTTTATTTCATTTATAAAACACAAACAAATTAAAGTAATATTAAGTAGCTACGATTTAAAAAAAAAAAAAAACAATTGTGTTGATACCGAACTGAACTTTAGTTATTACTAAACCGAATCCAAACTGCGCTTAGGACCGGACCAAACTCTAACATGATACATAACTAAACCGACCTGGATCAAACTTTAAAAGAAGTGTTAGATTCCCATTTCTAGTAATACTGTTATAATGTTGTAATATTGTAATGTTGTAATAATGTTGTAATGTGATAATGATGCAATGTAGTAATAATGCTGTATTGCTGTATAATGTTACATTATATGTTGTAATATTGTAATGTTGTAGTGATCTTGTAATGTAGTAATATTATGTTAATAATGTTGCATTGTTTTAATAATGTTGTAATGTAATAATGTTGTAATGTTTTAATAATGTTGTAATGTTGTAACAATTTTATAACAATGTTGTAAGTTATTGAACAAATAATAAAGGACATAAACATACACACTTTTTTGATAAAACAGCAGGCTTTGATAGAATTAAACACAAAAAAGCAATAGACAAGATTTATAAACTAACTCAATACACTATGTAAAACCTATAAATGCAATATTTTATTTTTTTAATCATAGTAAACTAAATGATAAAACATCTTACATCATATTGATATCCAAACCAATAGCTTTTAGTGAGAAAAAAATTCCATTTTTGTGGTATTCCATACTCTCCTGGAAACACTGCTTCTATATACCATGTCAATAACCCATAAAATACAATGTCTACTAAAAACATTAACAAAACTTGTAAAAAAGTAAATGTTGTATCAATAGTAACTCCTTTATTTATATTATCCCATTGCAATCCACTTCCTTGACCTTCAAACTGACCAATTAAATTCGAGCCTAAAGACATGGCTATTTGAAAATCAAGACATGCTAAAATTTTGATTTTTGTTGAAAGAGTATCATAGGATTTAGCAAGAAATGAATACGGAACATATGAGAGAAACCATAAAATACCACCAGCAGCTGCAGCAGTGTTTGCTTTTGAAAATAAGGTTGAAACTAAAAAGCAAAACATTATTGAAGAAATTGAGTACAAAACAAGGAATATGAAGATTATTACACCATTTGACTTAGTAAGCATTTTTCCTCTTCCAAAATCAACACACATTACAATAGAAATAAGAATCATAGGAATAAGAAGGAAAATAAAGCATTTAGTAAACCAAGCCAGCCAGTGAATCCAATTCCGAAGACCCATCATTTTCATTGATTCCTATAAAAAAAAAAAAATATGTACAATATATATATATATATATATATATATATATATATATATATATATATATATATATATATATATATATATATATATATATATATATATACATACATATTATTTTTATACATGTGTACATATGTATAGAAAAGAAAGAAACATATATATATATATATATATATATATATATATATATATATATATATATATATATATATATATATATATATATATATATATATATATATATATATATATATATATGTATATATATATATATATATATATATCAGGGATATGACAATTTCATAACCCTATATGCCCAAATGATAATTAGTGGAGGTTTTGTGTACAAATAACGAATAAGTAAGTATTTTTCTTTATGCTTAAAAAAAGTTCACCCTCCAAATGAGAAAATGATGTTTCTAAAATATAACATATAAGTATATTCACATAAAAGTTGCATTATTTTACAATAACATTTTACATTTTACAATACATCACCAATAAATAAATATACTAGTATTTTTCTAATGTTCATTACTTAAAAGAAATTTAATATTTAACTTTTCAGTCAATCTGCAGAGTGGAAGCAAGTCTTGCATTACTTTAATGGCATGCTTGGCACAGATATTTGAAAGTTGGGTTGCTATAGGCATAGGCTCCACTGACCAAAACTTCCTCAATGAGCGCAAAGTCTTAGAATACTCTATACAAGCTTCTGACAAATTATCAAAGTCAGCAAGATTGAAGAACTGAGACGAGAACCAGACTTTTGACCATGTAGCACAGATGAAATCACATGTCACTTTTGCTGTTTGTCTAAACTCTGGCATCAGGATGAAACTAAGAAAAACATTAATGGCTCTTGAGTTCCATCTTGCATTACTGATAGATAGAAGTGATTGGAAATGCACTTTTGGGAAACTTCCTGTACTTTTGAAATACCTGAAGCATGATACTAAGTGATCAAGAAAAAACATGTCATCTCGCCAGCAATCCTGTTCTACTTTCTCCTGTTCTTTTCCTGTATTATCAAATGATTTCTTAAATTGTTCATAGTGTCTTTTTATTTGTGAAATAAAGGAATAACAAATGTTTGGTGAATTCGTTGTTCCCAAAATGATCATTCATGACGTGTTTCAATATCGTATCCAAAATATGGTGTTGACACCCAATAAACACAGGTTTTTCTAATCCAATATCTTCAAAGTGTTTCTGCAACAGTGTTACACCTCCCAGATTTTTTTCATTATAAGCTGCAGTTGTATCAGAAACAATCATTTTTATTGAGGGCCTTAGTTCATATTGCTCATGCACAGTTTTTATTCCATTGAATATTTTCTCACTTTTTCCATTTGTCAATTGAAGGACAGCAAGTCTGATTTCCCTAGTTTCATTTTTCAAAACAACTACCTGATATTCCTTCTGTATATTCTAACCATCAAAGTGTAAACACCAGTGTTCATTTTTTAAATTTTCCTTGAACTTTCTTTTTAGCTTTTCTCCTTCTTTTATTACTGCTTTATAGATGCCACTCTGAGTTGGAATAGGTATGGAAACTCCGCTTTTGGACAAAGTTTCACATACTTTGTGGGCCTTCCTTGTACTTCCTTGTACTCAGTTGCAGTTACCAAACGTACTGCAGAATCAGTTTTTTGCCTTTTACTGGAAGAAGGTTTTGCATAATCTTCATTGCTACTATAACTTTGTTCTTCACTCAGATTTTTCTGTTTCTGTTACTGTTTCCGAATCTTCTTTACTACTTTCTTCAATAGACTCTTGTATGACTGACACTCTTCTTTTAAGCATCTTCACTTTTCATGGATGTATCCCCTGTGTGTCTTCTTTTGTGGTGCAATATCTTACTTTCCCTTTTGTTTAAACCTGCAGTTCATAAAACTCCCTGTCTTCTCTGCACAACCATTCTCCGTTCTCGTCTGTTACATCAAACATTTACTAAAATCATTGTTTCCAGCTCTTCAAGCATGCTTTTCATAAGTTTTCATAATATTCTCAACTTTTTGTGCAACCATAGATCTACCTTGTTGAATTGGCAGATTCAAATTATTCCATAGGCCTTTCACTTCATCTGCTATCATTACAATTCGCTCTTTTCTACATTTTAAATCAGAAGCCAGATTTTTTAATCTGTCGAAGATATTCTGCTCCATTGGAATTCTTCGCATCTGATCAAGACTGTCAATGGTAGTACACTTTCTTGACTTTTTGCACTTTTGAAATTGCATTAGATTTGAAGACCAAATCTCCTTATTCTTCTCTGTAGAAGGCGTGTTTTTACACATTGCAGTTCCATAGTTGTAATTCTCCAGATAGTAAACAAGTTAAATGTTGTTAAAAGCTGTGTTGGTGCCAGGAGAAACAGGTTATTAGAATCTAAATATTAGATTACTAATAGATATGAAATTTATTAGATAAAAAATAGTTATAGGAACTTAGAGTAACATAAATAACAAGATCTTGTAACATTCATATTCAATAAATAGAGAGCTACAAACAATTTAAATGTTAAAATGTTATCCTCCAAACAGACTTTATTTACTTGTAAGTTATTTGTCTATATAGAACATGAAATTGCATTATTTCTAATTATATTGAATTATTATATTATATATATATATATATATATATATATATATATATATATATATATATATATATATATATATATATATATATAAATATATATATATATATATATATATATATATATATATATATATATATATATATATATATATAATTCTTTCTTTTCTCGACATTTGTATGAATGAATTAAAATATCTTAATATTTTTTTTCATTATTTTTCAAAATTGCAACTTTGCAAAACAATTTTTTATTCAAAATTCTTTCCAAATTATAAGGAAATTTTTGCTACGACTTTTTTGATACCACACAATCTGTAAATTATATAAAGCTGATGGAACTATTATAGAATATTATTTTTAACACAACAACTCTTTCGTATAAAATCTTCAGCTGTGTATGAGATTTTTTCTCTCTCAGCTGATAAATGCGCCTCCTATGTAACCTCCTAGATTCAGACTGGAATGGAAGCTTTTATTAATTCTCGTCAGTTTCAAGTCAAGCCTCATTCTACTCCATGGTTTTCTCCTTCTTGTGCGGCTGCTATATCCAATTGTAATCATTTTTTTCATCTTTTTCAAAAGAACAACTCTCTTGAGAACAAACGGCTATTTATTATTGCAAGAAATCGATGTAAAAAGGTGCTTTCTGATGCTAAACTGCATTATTCTCAGTTCACTAAATCTCGCATCTTATCACAGAAGTTAGGCTCTAAAGACTTTTGGAAAATCTTCAACAACATTATTAACAAGGGTAGATCTAATATTCCCTCTCTCTCATGGGACTGATCTTATTACCTCTCCCAAGGATAAGGCAAAACTATTTGCAAAGAACTTTTTTTCTAATTCCACTCTTGAATCTTATGGACATTCTCTTCCTTCCATTCCAGTCAAACAGGTTGACCCATTGTTAGACATTCAAATCACTCCAGCTTCTGTTGCTAAAGTCATATCTCAATTAAACTCGTCTACAGCTTGTGGTCCAGACAACATTACTGTCACAGTTTTGCAGAATTGTTCTACTGAACTTTCTTCAATTCTCTCTAAACTATTTAACAAGTGTTTGACTGAGTCTTGTTTTCTTGCTAGTTGGAAAATGGCATCTGTGGTTCCAATATTCAAAAACTCTGGAGAAAATTCTGACCCCTCCAATTATCGTCCGATCAGCCTTCTTTCTGTTATTAGCAAGGTCTCTGAGATCAACAAATTCCTCACATCTCATCTTGAGTCAAATAAACTACTGTCAAACAATCAATACGGTTTTCGATCATCTCGCTCTACAATCGACTTGCTAACTGCAGTAACTGAAAGATTTTATCGTGCATTAGATGGAGGCGGTGAGGCTAGGGCTATTGCTCTCAACATATCTAAAGCTTTTGACAAAGTTTGGCATGCTGGTCTTCTCCATAAGCTTGCTTCATATGGCGTTTCTGGGAAAGTTTTTGAGATTATCAAATCATTTCTTTCTAACCGGTTTATTAAAGTCATCCTTGAAGGCCAACACTCCTTTTTATTTCCAGTAACTTCTGGGGTTCCCCAAGGTTCCATCCTGGGCCCTGTTTTGTTTCTTATCTACATAAACAATCTTCCTGACAACCTTTCATCTAAAGTAGCTCTTTTTGCTGATGACTCAACTTTATACTCCTGTCTTGACAAAAAGTCTTCTCATTCCGATCGCCTAGAACAAGCAGCTGATCTTGAATCCGATCTCACTTCAGTAATAGATTGGGGTTCACAGTGGCTTGTGAACTTTTTCAACTTTAACAAAACCCAGTTGTTTACTGCAAACAACTACCGTAATATGGTCAACATTCCTATATTAATGAATGGCAATCCTCTTACTGAGTCCTCCTCTTTACGTCTTCTAGGATTATTGCTTACTACTGACCTTTCATGGAAACCATATATACAATCGATTGCTAAATTAGCTTCTGCTAAGGTTGCTTCTCTTTATCGTGCTTGCCATTTCCTTACTTCTGATTCCATTCTCTACCTCTACAAATCTTTTATTCCTCCCTGTATGGAATACTGTTGTCATATTTGGGCTGGTTCTTCTAACGATTCACTTTCTCTTCTTGACAAGGTTCAAAAACGCATTGTGAATGTTGTTGGACCTGGACTATCTGCTAAGCTTGAGCCTCTTTCCCATCATCTTCATTGCATCTCTTTCTCTTTTCTACAAATATTATCATGGTCACTTCTCAAAGGAGTTATCATCTCTAGTTCCATCAACTAAAATTCATTCTCGCTTTACTCGTCATTCAGTTAAGTCTCATTCGTTTACTGTATCTGCCCCTGCATGCTCTAAAAACTTTTCATCTAGTTTTTTTCCCCGCACTTCAATCCTTTGGAACTCTCTCCCATCTTCATGTTTTCCTGACTAATACAAC